CTTTATCTTTAGTGGCAAGTGATCATGTAAAGGTTAGTCAAAATTTACAAATCTGTACTTATGTGACCACTGTGACCGCGCGCGACTCTATATTATTTCTATACAGTTTTGATACGAGCTAAGAATGGAAATAAACGAAACAGTTAATAGAGATATTAAATTAATAACCTTAGTGGAAAGATTTCCACATTTGTACGATATGCAGGTTTACGGCATGTAGCAAATCATTATAAACCAGAACATCAAAATTTACGACATAAGTTTACAGTCTTTAAGTTACCGGCATATGGTTACCCCGGATCTACTAGGGTTTTAAACCTTAAGTCATAAGAAATGGGCGAATCACAGTTGATTATTCCCCTCGGATTCGACTGTAATTGGTCAATTTCTTACGGCTTAAGTCTTAAAACATCCATTGTAGATCCGGACTTACGGCCAATATAAATCAGGCTTAAGACCGGACTATGGATTCCGACCACAGAGCCATATTACCACTGACAAGATAGCAGACAAATTAAATATTTCTGATTTATTTATGTCTATATAATTTAGGAATCGTTTGGGGAAATTTGGGAAAAGCATTTAAACATTTGGGAAATAATATTTTTCTTGTAATTAACAAATTTTATCATGCATCAAGTTAGCAGATAGCGATTTTATTTAATGTGTTTTATGAATCGATTAGAAATTATTTGGGGAAGACGTCTTCATTATTATTTTTATTTGGGAAAAGTCACTATTTAGTAATTCAATAGATTTATACCATGAAGTAAGAGTAAGGAGACTTAACTGGATAGGACATGGAGAAAAAAGTTGGTCACGAAAAATGTTCCATGTACTGCCATGTCCGCCGAACGGAATAACTTGCAACATTCTACCGCCATATTAAATACCGCCATAATAAACTTGCGACTGTGTTATACATATATGTATTAAATACGTGTCTCCTAAAAAGTAAGTAGCTTGCCCTCCTAAAATCTTAATAAAAATATACTCATTCGTCGCGTTTTCACTGAAAACGAAAGAATCTGTAAGAAAAATGCGGCGGCCTTGTGAACCGAGTTATTAAGCGTTAAAGTTCGAGACTACAGGTTAGGATATTTGTCATCTCGACTCGATATAGCGTTATGTATATGTACTTTGGTTCTACAAGCTTTTTTCTCTAAAAATAGAAAAATTATATAAATATTAAATGTTAAAAATCTATTCTGATGATATATATATATGTGTATGTGTATATATACACACACACACTTTTAATAATTAGAATATATTATAGATATATTTTAAATACATTCAAACATTAATATAATCTTATTTTATTATAAATATTATAATATTATAGGTAAAAAGTTATCAAATAACAATATGTCTTCTTGCGTGGAGGGATGTAACTCCAGGAGAGACAAAAAAGGATTTGCAAAAAAAATGCTTGTTTACACCTGTTACACAATTCATTTAATTGTTCAATACTAGTAATTACAATAAATTTTGAAAGAGAATGGATTTTGTTGTCTATATAAATATGCACTTGTCTCATTATCGTTCTTTATCAAAAGCTAAAAAGTAATAAAATATATTATTTTTATATGAATATTGGGTCCATTATTGTCAATTTCCATTATTTATTTATTTTTATTTTTTTTCCATTATTTTCGGAATGACAAATATCCTAACCCTCGAATAGGACTCGCTATATTATACGTTTAAACGAAAATACGTTTACACGTATAATTAGTATATTCGTTTATTAAAAACGTTTTTCCGAATATACGTGTAATTAACTATTATACGTTTAAACAAAAATACGTTTAAACGTATAATTAGC